CTCTGACAGGGTTCAAGGGGGGGGGGGGGGGGGGGGGCATCAATTTTAATACTTCAAGAACTTCCCTCCCAAAAATCAACGTTACCTGAAACCACTGAATATCATAGGGGTTTATTTGCCGTTCTTGTGGTGTCATGCTGTGTGAGTAGATACACTATAATCGTGGGTCAGCAATCGTCAGAATGATGATGATGATGATGATGGTGATGATGGTGACTATCAGATTTACAGATGGCTGTCAGCTAGATATATATAAGAACCCTTCACTGGTGAACACATCGGTAAAAAGAATTTAAGAAACTCAGTCAGCTGTTTAAATGAGTAAATATATGGAGATGGCGCTTCATTCAAGAATTAGCAGGAAGGAATTCCAACTTTTGACAAAAAGAAACAATTATACAGTGTATTAGAATTGTTAATTTGTCCTTTTTAAAATTCCGTCATCCATAAAATATTATTATATGAAATGATTTCGTAGCGACCACCAGACCAAAATATGGTTTTGTTCGGTATGTGGACATATTCTCTTTGAAGAAGAATGTATTGTTTTTAACGTTTTATTTGGATTTCTTAAAAAGACTAGCGCCGTAGCGGTAGGCCGTGTTTATTTTCAGAGAAACTGCTTTCTTGCTTAAAAAATATCAACCGATCGCGACTTTCTATTTGGAATGGAACTGACCTATTAATGTGCTAGTTCGCTACATAACAGACTTTGATAGATCTAATGCACGTATTTGTTGTATACACATGTAACGTACGTGACGTAGCCGGGAAATTTTAAATGACATTATCGATGAATGGGTTTCTGATCGGATGTCACAACTGCGCATGCGTGAGGAGTGTAAACATTGTAGACTAACAAACATGGCGACGACGTTCACGTCCGTGTACCATAGTGGAGGACGAGAAGATCAGTACCTTGGTACATGGAAGGTTTGTAGCCCTTCATACAAAGCTCGTTTGTCTGTCAGTCCCTAACCATGTTACTTAGTCTGCTTCTCTCGTTTCAGATTGTGGAATGCGTATCGTTGGCGGGCACAGTGGATACGACCGGCATCGAAGGGTAAGATTCGATATGGTCTCGTCTTTTATTCGCTTTATGGAAATGGGAAATAAATCGATTTTGAATTTTGACAAAATGATGTCTTTTGTCGTTCAACTTAATATCATTGCAGTCGCCTTTCGTCCAATGAAAGCAGCAAAATACTATTACGCAGTGGTTTCTTGTGATGATCCTGTGACAAAAATATGTATGAGTCAGAGCTGAGGTGAAAGCCTCATGCTACACCCGGAAGGGTTTCTCGCCTTGTTGACAAATAGAACTATCCAAACCACAGTGTCCATGCCCTTCACTCACTGCTTAGAGATGAAACTGCAGTAATTGATATTCACATAATCATTCATAATTTCTAAAACTGTTATGTCGGGAAAGTAAATCCCTGAGATAGTCCCCAAAAACTGGAGTTGAAATTATGACTTATCAAAAACTAACAATTCGAAATCTTGTTCCTTGGCTTGGAATGTCATTTTCATTTAGAAAAAGGAAATCTCATTGAATTGTCTTCTGTTTAGGCCAGGGTCATTTGGTATGAAACTCTGTGTAAGACCATGCTTCAGTGACAGGAAATCATTATCTTACAGAAAAGATTAATAAATATATAAGTGGTTCGTGGGTTTCATAGGCTCTTTTTAACCCTTTCAATTTGATAAGCTTATTCTCCTTATTTCATAGTTAAAATTACAAGTTGAATATTGATTTATTAACTTTACCTCGCAGTGATTGAGCACATTAAAGGATGCAGTAATTAATTTTCTTTTTTTGCAAACATGAAATTTCAAAATTCAAATGTACCCTATTGTATGCTTTTTAAAAAGTGAAAAGCCAATCTCTGTAAATTACAACGTGGACAAAAATATTGTTGACTGCTGTTTAAGAACAAAATATTTTTTAAAAACAATCATTTAAACTTTTAGTCTTGAGAAATTTATCCCATATCAGCCATACTGTATTCCATCTTTGCGTATTGCAGAGTTATCTTCTCTTGTGAGCAGGTATTGATTGTTACATCATTGGTTTGTGAGAGTAACGTCATCAATTTTTGAGAAAACGATGTAATTTTCTCACACAAACCAATGACGTAACAATCAATACCTGCTCACAAGAGAAGATAACTCTGCAATACGCAAAGACGGAATAGGTGTCTGCCCATAGAATTCTATTTCTTTATAATGAATTATACAAAACACTACTGTTTAACTGATTATGTTGTATATATGTATGGTTTGTTTGTATTGTATAGATCAGAGTTCCACCTGGATGACAGTGGCGATGTGTCGTGGAAAGTGGCAGATGATGTGGATGCTATGCCATTCTTTAACTCTGACACTTATGAGGTGCTCTAAATCTGTTGGCATTAACAGATATATTTTCATCTTTCTCCAAATTCAAGACTTTCATTTTGTTATAATGAACAAAGCTAAACAATTGGGTTTGATTTTACACATTTAAACACCTTACAAAAAAGAAAGTAGAATCATTTTAACACTGGTAGATAAAGAAGAAAAAAGATCTAACACTCTTAATGAAGAAAATGTTTAGTGTTCTGGGGTGGATCCACTAGTGATCCTTACTATAGAAACATAAAAGGAAATAAAAGGATTCTCAACACCACAAGAACAGCTTTGTTGTTTACTGAATATCCTGATGATTGCATATAGCAGTCGAAACATTCCGTAAACAACATGGCTGCTCCTGTGGTATTGAGAATCCTTTAATTTCCTTTAACAGTGGTAGATAATTTGTCATAGTGTTCGAGTAAGTTCATTGTTCATTGTAATTATAAAGTGATTAAGTTTAAACAGCAGTTTAACAAGTCTCTATTTTCAGATGCATTTATGGTCAAATACAAACTTATCTAGTAGTGAACTGTATAAGAATGTATATATCTGGAATTCTTAAATATTAAGCAGAGGAACACATTGTATAGATGAAGATATCCTGAACTCTATAGTTAATGCAATATTGCATAGAACATCATTAAAATAGGTATATGTCTTTCAGATACTTTTTCCACCAGGAAAGATGAACTCTGACCAACTGAAGTTTTTTGGGACTCTTGCAGAACATGTTATTGAGTTCAATGTAAGTACAATACTGTCTATTAGTAAAGTATTTACTGATAACAATAAAACAGATTATATAATGTTCCAAACTATTTTTATATTTTTCACATCTTAGACCTCACAAACTTCATTGTGACAAATGTGTTACAAATACACTACATGTACAAAGATATTATTTTATTGCAAATTCAAATTGAATATTTCAGTTCTTAATATGAAATATGACCAATCTCAAACATGTCTTGTTTCTTGAGGTACATCAATTATATTTCAACTCTTGGATTAAATACCTTTCATATTGTCGTTCATACATGCAGGATTCGTCCCACTCAAAAACACACTTAAATTTGGTATTCATCAGGAGACACCTTGGCATACTGAACAGGGAAGGCTGTCATTAGTATTGGCTTGGTTACCCAATTGTGGTACAGATTTACTTACCAATGCTGTCTTGTGTTACAGGTTGAGATTTCTGGTGAACTGATGCTGCTGTTTTGTGTTACAGGTTGAGATTTCTGGGGAACTGATGCTGTTGTTTTGTGTTACAGGTTGAGATTTCTGGTGAACTGATGCTGCTGTTTTGTGTTACAGGTTGAGATTTCTGGTGAACTGATGCTGCTGTTTTGTTAGACAGGTTGAGATTTCTGGGGAACTGATGCTGTTGTTTTGTGTTACAGGTTGAGATTTCTGGGGAACTGATGCTGCTGTTTTGTGTTACAGGGTGAGATTTCTGGTGAACTAAAGCTGCTGTTTTGTGTTACAGGTTGAGATTTCTGGTGAACTGATGCTGCTGTTTTGTGTTACAGGTTGAGATTTCTGGTGAACTAAAGCTGCTGTTTTGTGTTACAGGTTGAGATTTCTGGGGAACTGATGCTGTTGTTTTGTTAGACAGGTTGAGATTTCTGGTGAACTGATGCTGCTGTCTTGTGTTACAGGTTGAGATTTCTGGTGAACTAAATCTGCTGTTTTGTGTTGCAGGATGAGATTTCTGGTGAACTAAAGCTGCTGTTTTGTGTTACAGGTTGAGATTTCTGGGGAACTGATGCCGCTGTTTTGTGTCACAGGTTGAGATTTCTGGTGAACTGATGCTGCTGTTTTGTGTTACAGGTTGAGATTTCTGGTGAACTGATGCTGCTGTTTTGTGTTACAGGTTGAGATTTCTGGTGAACTGATGCTGCTGTTTTGTGTCACAGGTTGAGACTTCCGGTGAACTGATGCTGCTGTTTTGTGTTACAGGTTGAGATTTCTGGTGAACTGATGCTGTTGACGTGTGACCGATGTTGCATGCTGCAGTGTCAGAAGGTATGACAGTGTTCACTGAACACAGCTTTCATATCAAATATTTGAGTTTCAAATACACTCTATATTCTCTTCAAATTGATCTAAATAGTTCATGTTTTTGAAATTCGAGTTTGTTGTTCATGAGACAATTCCCTGAAAGGAAACACATTAACTTTATCAGCAAGAAAATATGAAATTAGTCTTTTCAAACAAAACAGTTTCACTGTTATGTAAATTCAAATACGCCACCTGTATCCTTGATGATACTTTATCTCCTGCTTGATGTTCTCCCTTGTAATTATACCTGTACTACACAGACGTATACAACTCAACCCTTCACTAACAGGTGTCTACAGACTATTCCAAAGGTGACTGCCATTACACGTTTGGAAGAGCTTTGGACGAAGGCTACTTTTCTGATCTTGTCATCACAGCTGAATCGGGGCATCAGGTAAGACTTGGACATATATTTACAAATAGATAAAACATATTGTTCAATTTGGTGTGGTGAATCCATTGATTTAATTTATTTAATACAGTTCCAGGTGCATTCTCTGATCTTGGGCCTGAGCTGCCCTGAAATGGACTGGTGGCACACGCCCCCACCTCTAACAGGCATACGTGAGGATGTTCTGGGGACCCTGCTCCACTACCTCTACACAGAATGTCTGCCAAAGGGTCTCTCAGAGGAAACTGTCAAAGTCTGCATCAAAACTGTTGGCACACTGCCTGGCATGGACAATTTTATAAAACTGTGCAATGCTTTCCTCAAAAATACTGCTCTTCGGCAACGTAAGTACTAATGTAAAAACTGGCAATAAAATCAGATTATGTAGCCGTATCAATTATCAGCTTAATCTAGATGAATGTAGAGCACATCTCACCAATCTCAATGGTTTAAAAGTTCATATAACTTAAAGATATCAATTATATATATTAAGGTTACTGTTTCTGAAATATATAAAACTGTATATTGTTATATGATTGTTCATCTTGTTTTTATGTTTTTTAATTATTTTATTTTAAGAAATCGTGAATTTGATTGGAGACATGCACACGTCAGCAGATCGGATTATTGAGATGTTTAAGTGTAAGAAAACCCCCATCACACCTGGCACCATTCCTGAAGATGCACTTGCTGCCAATCCTCCACGACTGTGTTATATAATGAAGCAGGCAGCTAGGGAAGCTGCTATAGGTATATACACTATTAAATGCTAATTGAGTCGTTGTCTGTGCCTTTATGTGACTATTTTGATAGAAAGATTAAACCAGAAGGTTTTTTAATGAATGTGAAACTTTTTTCATACAAAAAATATGTTTTGATCATAGTAGACCCACACAATGAGCACTGCATGAATTTTGTGATATTTTGGATACTTTTGATTTCCATAGTCACGAGGAAACAATTTGATAACTCAAACTTCTAAAAGACAAGTAATAAGAATATATCATGTGTTGCAGCAAGCTCCAAGTTTGTTTGTGTGATGATATTGTCTTTGTAACATTGAGATTAAGGCTTGTGTCGAGATGTGTGATGATAATGTGTGTGTAACATTGAGATTAAAGCTTGTGTCGAGATGTGTGATGTTATTGATTGTGTAACAGTGAGCTTAAAGTTTCTGTTTTGAGGTGTAATGATATTAGTTGTAGCGAGCTTGAAGTTTCTGTCGAGGTGTGTGATGATTTGTGTATGTAACTGTGAGCTTGAAATTTGTGTCGAGGTGTGTGATGATATTGTGTACATGTGTGTAAAAGTGAGCTTGAAGTTTGTGTCGTGGTGTGTGATGATAATGTGTGTGTAACAGTGAGCTTGAAGTTTGTGTTGAGGTCTGTGATGATATTAAGTTTGTAACAGTGAGCTTGAAGTTTCTGTTTCGAGGTGTGTGATGATATTGTGTGTGTAAGAGTGAGCTTGAAGTTTGTGTTGAGGTCTGTGATAATATTAAGTTTGTAACAGTGAGCTTGAAGTTTCTGTTTTGAGGTGTGTGATGATATTGTGTGTGTTAGAGTGAGCTTGAAGTTTGTGTTGAGGTCTGTGATAATATTAAGTTTGTAACAGTGAGCTTGAAGTTTGTGTTAAGCTGTATAATGATGATGATAGTGTGTTTGTAATGGTGAGCTTGAAGTTTGTATCGAGGTGTATGATGAAAGTCTGTAATATCTCAAGGTGTGTGATGATATTGTCTTTGTAACATTGAGATTAAGGCTTGTGTCGAGATGTGTGATGATAATGTGTGTGTAATGGTGAGCTTGAAGTTTCTATCGAGGTGTATGATAATATTGTGTGTGTAATGGTGAGCTTGAAGTTTCTATCGAGGTGTATGATGATAGTCTGTAATATCTCAAGGTGTGTGATGATACTATTTGTATTACAGCAAGCTCCAAATTTGTCTTGCTGTGTGACTTATTTGCCAGAAGGAGCGGAGAACTTCCTCAGGAAGAAAGGCATGAGATTATCCGCTATGCCAGATCCAGGTGGGTTGTTAGGTCAAAGGGCCCACGTGTACAACCAAAGTTTATAATGTTTTATTAATATGATTACACATAAATTTACATATGTAAAGCGAATGCACTTTAAGATGTTGGCTGATGTACTAGCTACTGACATTAGAGCTTTGACTCTGAATCTTTGACTATCATAAAACTATTACGAGAGCTACTAAGGGAGTAGTAAAGTGTTGAACTGAATACGAGATATTAAAATCATACTGGATACCTCTGAATAAAACAAATCAATATCCTTTAACCTTGAACTATATCTTCCCTATCCCAACCCAGGACTTAAGATTGTTTAAGGGTACCAAACAAGGATTTAGTTAAAACCAAACAATCCACAAAATCACTTTTTGGAGTCCTGTTGTTGGTTAATTGATTTACTGGAATTTTTAAATTTTGTGTGTACTTTATCAATTATTCAATTTAACGGTATTTTTTATTATTTCCAGGTTGCCCATATTTGTCAAACAGTTGAAAGAATTCTTTGAATCATTCAAATACCAAATGTCATTTGTTGGACCAAATGAAAAACAAGAAATTGCCACATATATTTTACCCGAGGTAAGTTGAAAAGTTTAGTTGTCTCCCTTGTGTAGGCGTACACCACTGCACTACATGGAAACTGGTTGGGTAGTGTAGAGTTTTTCATTTTGTTATTTTTTTGCTGATATAACATGCTATATTCCTTACATACCAAATTTACATTGACAGGTGTAGACATTATAATCCTTGTTAACCCCAATGGTTGATTGCATAGTGAACGTTGTTTACTGATTATATCGACAGGTAGAGAATTATGCTCCATAGTAACCAAGTAAACTGATTATATTGACAGGTAGAAACATTATTCTCCATGGTGACCAAGTTTACTGATTATATTGACAGGTAGAAACATTATTCTCCATGGTAACCAAGTTTACTGATTATATCGACAGGTAGAGACGTTATTCTCCATGGTAACCAAGTTTACTGATTATATTGACAGGTAGAAACATTATTCTCCATGGTGACCAAGTTTACTGATTATATTGACAGGTAGAGACATTATTCTCCATGGTAACCAAGTCAACTGATTATATTGACGGGTAGAAACATTATTCTCCATGGTAACCAAGTCAACTGATTATATTGACAGGTAGAAACATTATTCTCCATGGAAACCAAGTCAACTGATTATTTTGACAGGTAGAAACATTATTCTCCATGGTAACCAAGTTTACTGATTATATGACAGGTAGAGACATTATGCTCCATAGTAACCAAGTTTACTGATTAAATTTAACAGGTAGAAACATTATTCTCCATGGTAACCAAGTTAACTAATTACATTGACAGGAAGAGACATTATTCTCCATAGTAATCAGGTTTACTGATTATATTGACGGGTAGAAACATTATTCTCCATGGTAACTAAGTTTACTGATTATATTTACAGGTAGAGACGTTATTCTCCATGGTAACCAAGTTTACTGATTATATTTACAGGTAGAAACATTATTCTCCATGGTAACCAAGTTTACTGATTATACTTACAGGTAGAAACATTATTCTCCATGGTAACCAAGTAAACTGATTATATTGACAGGTAGAAACATTATTCTCCATGGTAACCAAGTCAACTGATTATATTGACAGGAAGAAACATTATTCTCCATGGTAACCAAGTTAACTAATTACATTGACAGGAAGAGACATTATTCTCCATAGTAATCAGGTTTACTGATTATATTGACGGGTAGAAACATTATTCTCCATGGTAACCAAGTAAACTGATTATATTGACAGGTAGAAACATTATTCTCCATGGTAACCAAGTCAACTGATTATATTGACAGGAAGAAACATTATTCTCCATGGTAACCAAGTCAACTGATTATATTGACAGGTAGAAACATTATTCTCCATAGTAACCAGGTTTACTGATTAAATTTAACAGGTAGAAACATTATTCTCCATGGTAACCAAGTTAACTAATTATATTGACAGAAAGAGACATTATTCTCCATAGTAATCAGGTTTACTGATTATATTGACGGGTAGAAACATTATTCTCCATGGTAACTAAGTTTACTGATTATATTTACAGGTAGAGACGTTATTCTCCATGATAACCAAGTTTACTGATTATATTTACAGGTAGAAACATTATTCTCCATGGTAACCAAGTTTACTGAAGAATTCAAGGCTGCTCTAAACAAAGCCATTACCAAAAATATTTCTGACAAGGAGAAGGGTGAGGAAAAAGGAGAGAAACACAAACATGTTAAAGATGTGTTAGGAAAGACACTAAGACATGTAAGTTAAAAACATTAGATATATTTTATTAAGCAATAGGCAAAAATGCCTTGTGCATTACATAATAACAATCCACATAGGTGGTACAGGTGGAGTGGAACATGAACATGGACAATGAAATATATTTGTAATTGGTATAATACACATACATGCAGCGACAGGTACGAGGACTTGTTTTCAATCTACCCGTATTTAGGCAACCAGATATCCATTACCACATGTTTCATAGCAATCGAGAAAGTACATATTGTTTGTATAATGTTAAAAGTTTGTACCTAAAAACCGTTGTGTTACATATGTGATCGATGGGAGATAACTCTCGATGCCATTAACCAATGGTACACAGTGGTTAAATGTATACACTTGGCTCGGGAATCAAATAAATATTACACGAATTGAGTATGTGCGTAACAAAAATACAGAATTTAGGATAAAGTTGCCAGAAACACATACAGATTAAATACCCAGTCGCCCAGAGTTAATTATTAAAAAGTATATTATTTCTGATCTCGTTTGCCTTGAAAACATAACTTGCTAGATTTCTTACAATTGCAACATTAGATGATGTAATTAAATCCACAAATCTTTTCCTACTATAGTATCTTCTTGGAATGAACTGTGTCCTTACCTCAGAAACCTGATTACATTCAATAATAAAATGATACTCATCTTCTACAACATCACAAAATATACATTTTCTCATCTCATACGGTATTACAATAGGTCTATGCCATCGCTCTACCTCTACACTGAGGTGGCGTGATGATACTCTTAGCCTTGTCAATGCTATTCTAAATTTATGTACATTTACAATATCCAGATACTCTTTATATTCGAAAATGTCACCCAATTGTATGTAAAACCTAGCTCGAGACGACTCAGCCAGCTCAGCATTCCAGTTTTGTACAAAAACATCGCTCACTCTTGTTTTAAACAGACACATAAACATATTTATACTGCCAACAGCCTGCAGATTCCAGACATAACCGAAACCATATGTAAAAAGCACGTTTTTTACTAAGCTTGCCCAATTACTAAAGATAAGAGCAGCATGTTAATAACAGATCCAGCAGCCATGATTAGCTCGGATATTTTCAATAAACATCATTCAAAGTATTTTGTTTATAGAATTGTGCATGCATACAAATAACCAGTATGTGTTAAGCCCCTGATACGGTTCAAGTGTCCTACTTTATTTCTAAAAAAATCACCCAACCTTATAAGCAATTACTTGATACACCTAACTCATGACAGATAACACTCTAATTTAGCTTAAATGATATTATTGAATATCATTACAGTATATCCAAATGTTTCATAAAATATCTTTTCAATGAATCTTGGACCTAATTGCAATTCCTATTAAAAGTATTTTTTTTATATCTTTATGTAAGCACCTCAGGTTCTAGTTAAGGACAGTATGAAAGGCCTGGATGTTCTAGTTAAATTGTAGATTGTTATGCTTTTGAAAACACATATTTCACTTCATTTTATCTTTCTGATCATTTATTATTTATGATATGAGTATTTGGATTTGGACATTTATGGGTTATCATTTTACAGGTTTTACATGTCAGAGAGTTGAAAAAGTTAAAATTCATGCATGATACTGCATCCAAAAAGTTTGAGTCAGCATTCGAAAAACTGTAAGTATAGTGTTTTTGATACATTTTCCTCTGTTTTGCTAACCAGCTATAAGGTATTACCTGTAGTTTTTTTTATGTTGACTGAACATGTATTCAGTTGCAGTAAAAGTGACTTCTTAATTCTGAATTTCACTGTACTTGGAATAACTGTTAAACATTCACAATCTTTGTAATGTAAACCTGTTCAGATATTTAAAAACTATAAGTATCAAGTTAAAAAACCAAAATGAAACAAAAAATTATGTGAAGTGTTTTTTTACTCAATTAGTGACAGATTCAATAGGAAACCAAACGCTGAGAAAATCATTCGTGTGAGCCTCATTATAGACGAACTCAAGGACAGAGAGGTAGGTCAGTGGTTTATGAGAAACACCATTGTCTGTTACAGTAGAGTGGGACAGTGCCTTGGGTCACCCCGAGGGTAACACTGTCACTCAAGGCAATCAGTATTTATTTTATCATACCGAAAGTCAATGATTAACAAACTTTTGTTACGCTGCATGCTTTGAGAGTCTTTATCCCTCAAAAGTTTATCCAAATCACCCAACTTGACATCTTTTACTCCACTGGTATGTACTGGTATCATCCTCAGGTGTGTAGTATACTGTAATTAGGTGCATATCTAGGGAAATCAAACACGTTTTTAGTGTTTATTTGTATTTTTTCTTTCAATTTAAACAACCCGTTGATGATTATGTATTTAAGAATGTCTTTGTATCCACAGGCCCCTATGCTAGTTGGACGAGTTGAACAGCTAGCACTTGTCCTGGAGGAGAAGTTCAAATGGCGACAGTGGAAGTACCTATTTAAACTTGGTTCTTCTAAAGTGGTAGGTTCATTAATAAACTCTTTGAACTGTATTTAGACTGATTTAGGCAAGGACCAACTGTTCATAACATTGGTAAAAACTTTGTTGAGTGAAGTACAAACAAGACAGTCCCATTACTAAGCCATATGTAATATGTATACAAATATTACTGTGTGTAATTCAGGATTGACCTTCATTTTGACGGCGTATACGGTAGTATGGATGCAGTTGGCAACAAACATATTCTATTGTGTGGCTTCGCATTCCATGAAGAATATGTTAGTTGTCAACTGCGTTCATACTACCGTATACTCTGTCGAAATGAAGGTCAATCCTTATATTTACATTTAAAGACATGTTTAAATGCTACAGTACCAGGAAAAAAATGTCGAAGCGGGTTGCCATGATGGTAGCTACAGTAGCCATGGTCACTAGGGCAATATAGTTCCAGTGAATCTACATTGATATGTGAGTAAATTTAGAAAATGTGCAGTGGACAACACTATTTTTTTTCCTTTCATGGTTTTTAAATTTTAAATTTAGCAATATGAGAAGCCCTTCGATCTTTTCTATTCATTTACAATGGTCGTCATGTACGTACATTGACACACTGCTCATGGGATGACGCGGTCAAAACAAAGCCGCCATACGTTACCAACAAAGAAATTTGAACGCGCATCCATGGACTAAGAAGTTTGTCAGCATCCTTTTGTTGTATAATTAGACATAATGGATCCCAAATATGTTCTATGTATCTAGATGGTGAAGGAACCAAGCATTGATTGTCATTGGACTGTTATCTAGCTGAAGTGTGAACGGCACCATATTTAGAAAAAGTATCAATCCGCCGAGCATTATATACTGCGTATACGCTAATTTATACGCAATCAGAGTTTACTTAGCTGAAAAAGGAAGACATGTAAATATTACTTTGTGTAATGCTGTGTGTAATATCTTGTTGTAGGCCTGGGCAGTAAACAAAATGTGTTGTTACAAGGCCACACTAGCCTCCTCCATACAACAGATGGTGGAGATGGTTCACAAGGACGAGTTCACAGCCTCTCTCACTTCCCTCGGTCTCTACTCTGCCGACAAACCCCAAGACGGTGAAACTCCGAGCCAGCCTGACAGGACAACTGCCTCATACGCCCATGTAAGTATGACCCTCATTACGATGATCCCACACTAGACTGATGGGGTTGCTGCTGTATATGTCCATGTAAAAATGAAGGTAATTGTCACTCCAACACAAAAATATATTTGAAAAATCAGACTAGACATTTGTTCACCGGCATTACCGGTAAATTCAACTTTGATTTTAAGCAATATTCTCAGTCTTAAGTTTGAGATAATTTTCTTGGCCATTTTAAACCTATTTTTTTCCCAGTATTTTTATAACTATTTTGAAGCATGAGGTGCATGCAGTGTAATGCTGAGCAAAAAGGCTTTCCAAATAAATGACCTTGAACTACATTCAACATCACAGGGGTCAAATATGCTGAAAACTTCAAACTGATTTTATAAAGAACTGCAATACACAGAGTAAGGATATGATAAACATCTGACCAGTGTAGTCCGGATATTACATTTCAGTATATTGTTCCAGCATCATTAGATAGTGGCTGAGTGATACAGTCCTTGTTGTAGTGTGGATTTAGTCATTACCATGGTAGTTTCTTTCAATTAGTTTGAGGCGTGTTTTAATAATTCTGGAAAATTGTTTTGAAGTGTTACTCTTACCTGTTTGAATTGGAACTGTTATTATTTGTCTACATACATAGATATGTATGTATATGATTGTTTTCTGTTTGTTACAGTTAAGTTCAGTTGAATCCCTTTGTGTTCCTCCACTGGCCAGAAACAGTAAGCTAGCCAAGCGATCAATAGATCTGCTGAAGAAAGGCCAGAAGACAGATATGATGTTTGAGATCATCATTGTTCATGGTAGGTGTCATATTGATATAAAGCAGTTTTACTATGAACAAAAACTGCTAGAGATACATGTCAAAAATCATTACAATCAGGTATATTAAGTATACAGTTATACAAAAGGCTTGCTTATCAAAATGTTCTCAAATTATCAGTATATTCCACCTTAGCTTTTCGAGCTGGTCCACACTTGTGTGTGTAAGATTGATGATAGACAGTACATTGGAAGGAATTGACCAATCAAGGACTTCGTCATACATCCTTTAATTAATTCTAATGAAACGAATCTTCTTTCTAATATTCTGTCTTTCATGTGATATTTTTTATTGAATGTTCTTAGAAAAATCCTATTGTATATCATTTTGAGTTTATAAAAGCTTTTTGTTGTAGTAGAAAATGTAGTTTGTGTGGGTTAACGATGTTTGCCTCGGAACACTGTCTAGTACAGGCATTGATGTATGAGTGTCTCTGTCCTCAGATGTTGGAGACACAGTGATAGACCACACCCATGGGGGTGAGCCTGTAGCCCGTACAGATGACAGAGATGTTGATGTCCACCAGATTCCAGCCCATCGTGTGATCCTCGCCTCCAGATGTAACTGGTTCTGTAGGGCATTGCTAAGTGGCATGAGGGAATCTATAGACAAGTCAGTACTACTCGGGGAAAGTCTCCTCCATACACAATATTTGACAGGCTCTTAAATAGTAATTAAATTAATGTAAAAAGGAACGTTTTAATAATGTTTGCTTTATTTTGCCATTATGTATAATTATGCATACTGTAATTTGACAACATCTATTGTTTCAAATGGTACAATCATGATTATACTCTAGATCATTTTCTCTCCCAGGCTTGTATATTTATATATAATGTTTAAATTATGTTAGATCAGATGATCTGATAAAAGAAATCCATAGCAAGATCCTTCAGCCTTATGTCGCTTCATTTTCTGTCTTGTTTGTATTACGTAATTACAAGTACCAGGAACATGACAGTATCTAATTGCTTATTATTCAGCCAAATAACCTTTATTACTAGTGATTGTTGATAACTTAAAAGTTCTGAGACAAAGTTTGTGGAAGAAAAGTAGTTCTGAGACAAAGTTTGTGGAAGAAAACAAGTTCTGAGACAAAGTTTGTGGAAGAAAAGATGTTACAGGCTTCCTGATTTTACTTAGAAAATAATCAAGATGAAAGAAACAAAAAAATCAGCTGTGTTTTGTATTAGGGGGTGAAAATACAACAGGGCCAGACTGATTCAAACTGTAGACCTCCAAACAGGAAACAAAGCCCATATCCTTATACCATATGTAATTCATATAATTCATTACAGTTCCAATGAAAAGCTACTTTTTTGTGCCAAATTTACTTTATTTGTGTTTTTTGCCTATTAGATATGTATAGATTGTACTGATCTGACAGCTGGTTTTTATTGACAGGAAGATAACAGTACATGATACAAACCCTGAAGTGTTCAACTTGTTCCTGGAGTACCTGTACTCCGGCCAGGTGAGAGTTGAGGGATGTACCACAGAGCAGCTGTCTGACCTCCTCACGCTCGCTGACAGATACGAGGTAAGGACACTGACCGTTTCTGTTAGCTCCTATTGAAGATTACTGGGAATATTGGAATGATGTACATCATTGGAACATCTCTCTGGATTTGTCTTTTTACAATAATTTCAGTTATCTTTGATCAATCAGTATCAAACTTCATACATGGATTCCTTGTCTAAAAGCTTTCTTGGTATTGCTGTTCGGGTCAAAATTTCATAGGTCAAGGTCATTGTTACTATAAATATAATTAAGTTTCTATGCAATAGTTTCAGTTACCTTGGCTCAATCAGCTTCTAATTTCATACAGATATAGGGCTTCCTTCCTTAAAATTCTCGCTTGGGATTGCTTTTCATGTTATAAAGGGCAAAGGTCACCATAATATAAATAGAAAGTAAGTTTCTGCAAGCTTTATTGAGATCCAATGGCTCATTCAAACTTGATTTTTTGCAGGACTACATTTCTGGCAGCACTTTATTGGAATTGCATTTTAGATCAAAATATATCACTGTAATATTTCTCCTCAGAGGAAAGATAGCCATCTTATTATAGACCAATCATAAACCACTGCTCCATGTGAAAAAGGAGTTAGGAAATGCCTGTTCAGATTGAATTGAATGACAGGGAAATTACAGGTGTTGCCATGTTTCTGGACCAGGAGAAAATATCTGTTTTAAGTAAACACATGAATATTTACATAAAGCAAAAAATAAACTTTGAACACTTGATGTTGACAGTTAATGTCACGGAAATATTACATGATATGAGTGCCAGACTTGGTACACAAAGTTGGTTTGGAATAAAAATAATGTAGAAGATAACAAAAAATCGTCTTTTTTTTCGTTTTATGATCATTTGTTTTTCATCTGTGTGAAGAAAAAAATCATTTTTTTCATTCCTGAAATAAACATTCTCTATCAAAAATATAATAACTGATTTTGTGATCTATTATTAATCTATTAATATTGATTTCTTATTTGTGTAGGTGGACACTTTGAAGTTGTTCTGTGAACATGCTTTACAAAGACATGTTGATAATGACACCGCTGTTTACCTCTTTAATCTAGCTGATCAACTTCAGACAAAGTCGTTAAAGGTAAGCTTTCTTTACACCTGTACAACCTAGCTGAATAACTAGGGTGGGGATGTTACAGGCACATCAGGTTGGGGGCCTTGTTGACCTGTCAGTTTCTAGTTTAATCTTGGAGCCTGACATAGTTTTAATCTTAATTGATAACATCAAAATTGGTCATATAACGTGAATTCATTCACAAAAATAAGACTTGGATATACTCTTTCGTAAATTAAAATCTTTGTTTAAAGCAAAACGGTGAAATGAAGTTGTCAACACTTTGTTCTATAGTAGAGCAGCTATTATTGAGAACTGACGTGTCATTGTTTGTCTGCAGGAGAGGGCCCTATCTTACATGGTGGACAACCCCACACTGGCTGAGGGCGAGGTGTACCTGGAGCTCCCGCAACATCTGAAGGATGAGGTACACAGTGCAATTGTCAATGGCAGGTACGATACATCTAATGATCTGTAGAAGTCAGTAAGATTCTTGTTAAACTCTGTAGTTAAGACATTCCTGACATTATAATGGATAGCGTCATTGGTTAGATTTCTCTTGCCTTGTAATAGATATTAACTCTAGTGATAAGATATCTTTACTTGTAACAGACCAATGTGTTGTTTGGATATTTTAGAAATCATCCTGGACAACTCTTTATTTAGCATAGTTTTTGACTTGTAAAAATATTTTCTGTTTTTCATTTGTTTGTACTTTTGATTTCACACAATTGTTTGTTGTAAAAGTTAATGTTGTAGTGTTACATATTTGTATCATCCTAGTTCGACTTCCAAGACGAGGTTACCACGGTCACGCCAGACTGATGATGCCGTTGTTGAAATGATAAATGAGATAGACCTCAACTCCGGGGTAAGTTTGCTCATAAGTGTGTTAACATTTTACAGTTTAACAGTCCTGTAGGTTATCATACAGCTTGTTGGTTCTCACCAGTACTACCAGATGGGACTGTAAGTTTGCGTCGGTCTGTCAGTTTGGTATTTAGTGTATCACTTGGTTCAGAGCGTACCTCATATATTGTCATTCACAATTACCAAACTCGCAATGTAAGTTCCCTTTGGATAAGTAGTATACTAAAATTTTGTCTCTTGTTCCACTGTATACAAATTAAAGTTAGCATGCAATAAATTATCTACGGCACATTTGATAAATTTTGTCATCTACAATTGCTGTATTTCATATGTGAGATCCTCTTTGGATTGTGGAGTCAGCGTCTTGTTCTGAATCCTGGTGTCATTCCCCACTGTATGCAGAGATTTAGTTTACAATGCATCACTTTGTATGGGGTATATCTCTTCTGACACCTACATTTGTTGTATTTGAGTACCTCTAGGAATGGCTGAGTGTTGCGTTCTGATAGTTCACTTTTACTACTGAAACATGACTGGCGTTGGGGGTCTCCTTTGCATTGTTGATGTGTATTTTTATAGTCAATAGTTATATTGAGGGAGATATTTGACTTAATCTAGCAGTAAAGTAAATAACTACACTAAGAAAAAGTTGTGTTTTGTCAGTGTTAAAGTCATGGCTTGTTTTAATGACATATTTTGTTTTCTGTTACTTTGAGGTTGTCTGTTTATCTGCTGAAATACTCTGTTTCTTTACCAGGATGACAGTTCCACATCAAGCTCTGGAGATTTCCAATATGAAGAATTAGAACATGACCGTGGACGGATGGATCGCTTTGTTTCTGAACTACGGGAAGTAGTGGGAGACGAACCATCAGATGAAGAACTTGCTTCTTTATTATTGTCAGCAGACTTTGATCTTAACAGAGCTATCAATTTCTTCTATGCTAGCTGATACTCCACTGTTAAACATTTGATTGAGCTAGTAAAAAAAGTGTTCATTTTAGGCTAATGTAATGTCTGAGAGGCCAATACACCATATCTGATAACACAAGTATACACCTGTACACCACACCTGATAACACAGATATACACCTGTACACCACACCTGATAACATGAGCATATACATGTACACCACACCTAATAACAAAGGTATACATCTGTATACCATACCTGATAACACAAGTATACACCTGTGAACCACACCTAATAACAAAGGTATACACCTAAACACCATACCTGATAACACAGGTATACACCTGTACACCATACCTGATAACACAAGTATACACCTGTACACTATACCTGATAACAGAAGTATACACCTGTATACCATACCTGATAATACAAGTTTATACCTGTACACCACACCTGATAACAAATGTATACACTTGTACACCACACCTGATAACACAAGTATACACCTGTACACCACACCTTATAACAAAGGTATACACTTGAACACCATACCTGATAACCCAAATATACACCTGTATACCATACCTGCTACCCAAAGTGTACACCTGTCTACCACACCTGATAACCAGAATGTACACCTGTACACCATACCTGATAATCAAAGGGTACACCTGTACACCACACATGATAACAAATGTATACACTTGTACCCCACACCTGATAACCAACGTGTACACATGTATACCATACCGGATAACCAAAGTGTACAGGTGTACACTTTGGTTAACAGGTGTGGTGTACAGGTGTAAACTTTGGTTAGCAGGTATGGTGTACAGGTGGCCACTTTGGTTATCAGGTTTGGTGTACAAGGGTACACTTTGGTTATCATGTGTGGTGTACAGGTGTCCCCTTTGGTTATCAGGTGTGTTGTACAGGTGTTCATTTTGGTTATCAGGTATCGTATACAGGTGTACTCTTTGGTTATCAGGTATAGTATACACGTGTACACTTTGGTTATCATGTGTGGTGTACAGGTGTCCCCTTTGGTTATCAGGTGTGATGTACAGGTGTACACTTTTGTTATCAGGTGTGGTGTGCAGGTGTACACTTTGGTGATCAGGTGTGGTGTACAGATGTACACTTTGGTTATCCGGTATGGTATACATGTGTACAGTTTGGTTATCAGGTGTGATGTACAGGTGTACACTTTGGTTAGCAGGTATGGTGTACAGGGGTACACTTTGATTATCAGGTATGGGATACAGCTGTACACTTTGGTTACCAGGTGTGGTGTACAATTTGGTTAGCAGGTATGCTATACAGGTGTACACTTTTGTTATCAGGTGTGGTATACAGGTGTACACTTTGGCTCGCAGGTATGGTATACAGGAGTACACTTCGATTATCATGTATGGTATACAGCTGTACGCTTTGGTTATCAGGTGTCGTGTACAGGTGTACACTCTGGTGTACTGCTGTATTTCCATCCCTGATAACCAAAGTGTCCACCACACCTGATAACAAATGTATACACTTGTACCCCACACCTGATAACCAGAATACACCATATCTGATAACACAAGTATACACCTGTGAACCACACCTAATAACAAAGGTATACATCTGTATACCATACCTGATAGCCAAAGTGGACACCTGTACACCATACCTGATAAACAAAGTGTACAGCTGTATTTCCATACCTGATAACCAAAATGAACACCTGTACAACACACCTGATAACGAAAATTTACACCTGTACACCACATCTGATCACCAAAGTACACACCTGCACACCACACCTGATAACACAAGTATACACCCGTACACCACACCTGATAACACAAGTATATACCTGTACACCACACCTTATAACAAAGGTGTACACTTGAACACCATACCTGATAACACAAGTATATACCTGTACACCATACCTGATAATCAAAGTGTACCCCTGTATACCATACCTGATACTCAAAGTGTACACCTGTCTACCACACCTGATAACCATAGTGATAACACAGATATACACCTGTACACCACCCCTTATAACAAAGGTATACCCTTGAACACCATACCTGATAACCCCAATATACACCTGTATACCATACCTGATAATCAAAGTGTACACCTGTATACCACACCTGATAACCAAAGTGTACACTTGTACACCACACCTGATAACCAAAGAGTACACCTGTATACCATACCTGATCACACAAGTATACACCTGTCCACCACACCTGATAACACAAGTATACACCTGTACACCATACCTGATAACACAAGTATACACCTGTACACTATACCTGATAACACAAATATACACCTGTATACCATACCTGATAACCATAGTATACACCTGTATACCATACCTGATAATATAAGTATACATAAGTATAAAGTGATTTTAAGCGAAATCTACTGTACTGCGATACTTAAACAACAGAACATTTACGTACTGGCCTGTACAATACTCATTACATTGGCTGACTTTATTGTACTATACATAGATTGTGGAGAAGAGTTGTGACATTGTTAAGAGGAACAAATATGTATATGTATCAGGTACATTATTGAATTATTTAATACAGTGTTCCAAATAGAATTATATGTTCAGGTATATTTCGGAGGACTTAAATTTGAAGAGTGTTTGAAAATTAACAAATGTAAGAGCAATGAATAGGTCTAATGAGACAGGTTGTGTGTTTATTGTAAACGGCTTTATAACATGTGATCTGTCAATGTGTCGTGTTAAACATACCGACGTATCCAAGGTTTGTGCTGCAGCTTTCACTGTTGTGTAACAGAAGTGGTTGACACCAGTCTTTATTTAAAACCATTAACTGAGCATCTCATTCCGTGTCAGCTGATCAAAGAACTGACCAATGCTGCAGCACTAGGGCTGTGTATCATACAAGATGTTCAATATATCATTTAATATTACTGTGAATATGTTGGTAGTGTCTCCTGCACTTGTTCACAACAATCTTTTGACACCGACTACACAGTCCTCTCCCTAAAGAACGTAGGACCATGCCCTACTTTTGACAGGGGGCTCATTCGTAGATAGTCAATGAATTTGCATAAATAGTGAACAGGCACACCACATTTGTTGTCAAAATTGTATTGGAAAGGAATATAATTTATATCTGAATATTGTACCGTATTTAATTAAATGATAAATCATGAGTCTCGACAACTCTCACGATTTCTTGCTGTTCTGATTTTTTTTAATCTTCAATATCATGCATATACTACAGGCATTGGAACTTCAATTTTAGAGGAGACTTTTTAGTCAGTCACTGTTGCTCTAAATAATGTTATTTAATGATGTGCTTCATGTGTGACAACCTGTTAATATATGATTGATCAAATAAGGTTTTATTCAATTTTTAAATTGATCCCAAATAAACAGTATTTTATATGTATTGCAAGCTGGTACAGAGCTCTAAGCAATGCTAATTACAAGCTAGTCATCAGTATTTGCTGCAGTCATCCAGTACAATACATAGTAACGCTACAAATGTTTCATGTGACATTTCTCAACATAACTTTTTTATCAAATGTTAACTTTTTAAACATATTTGCATAAACTGTATATATCAGCAACTAAACAGCAATTTAAGAGTCCCTACTTATTTCACTTAATGCTAACTTGTCTATTTATTACTCCCGAGTGCTATCTTGTCTAGTTATTACTCTGAGTGCTAACTTGTCTAGTTATTACTCTGAATGCTAACTTGTCTAGTTATTACTTCAAGCGCTAACTTGTCTATTTATTACTCCGAGTGCTAACTTGTCTAGTTATTACTCCGAGTGATAACTTGTCTAGTTATTACTTTAAGTGCTAACTTGTCTAGTTATTTCTCCGGGTGCTAACTTACCTATTTATTACTCCGAGTGCTAACTTGTCCATTTATTACTCCTGAGTGCTAACTTGTCAAGTTATTGAGTGCTAACCTACTATACTTTGCCTTGCTTATCTGTGATCCTATACATTATATTGTTTATATGTTGTATAGAGAAACTTTTTATTGATTCTATCAATGTTCCTTTGTTCTTACAGAAAGTGTGTAACACCAGTAACTATTGTGATTCTGTGTAGTATTTGTGTGAAATGTTCTTACAGAAACTGGGATACTCTCGTGAATCTTTGTGGTAAACATGTGAAACTTTTCACACATTAAGTCCAGGAATAAGTTTTGACACCGGTGATCTTGAGAAATGTTTCACATATTAACAGGTAATATTTTGACACTGGTGATCTTGAGAAATGTTTCACATGTTAAGTCCGGTAATATTTTGACAGTGGTAATCTTGTGAAATGTTTTGCACGGTAACCCAGGTAACAATGTGATGATGTGAAGTAATTATGTGAAATGTTTTACAAAGTAACCAGGGTAAGATGTTGCTAGTATGTGGTAACCATGTGAATATTTTCCGCTTAGTAACCTAGTAACATGTTGGAAGTGTGTGGTAATTGTAGTGAAATATTTCACACAGTTGACAATGGAAATATTGCAATACTGTGGTAGCCATGTGAAATATGTCACACAGTTGACCATGGTAATATTGTGATACTGTGGTAGCCATGTGAAATATGTCACACAGTTGACCATGGTAATATTGTGATACTGTGGTAGCCATGTGAAATATGTCACACAGTTGACCATGGTAATATTGTGATACTGTGGTAGCCATGTGAAATATGTCACACAGTTGACCATGGTAATATTGTGATACTGTGGTAGCCATGTGAAATATGTCACACAGTTGACCATGGTAATATTGTGATACTGTGGTAGCCATGTGAAATATGTCACACAGTTGACCATGGTAATATTGTGATACTGTGGTAGCCATGTGAAATATGTCACACAGTTGACCATGGTAATATTGTGATACTGTGGTAGCCATGTGAAATATGTCACACAGTTGACCATGGTAATATTGTGATACTGTGGTAGCCATGTGAAATATGTCACACAGTTGACCATGGTAATATTATGATACTGTGGTAGCCATGTGAAATATATCACACAGTTGACCATGGTAATATTGTGATACTGTGGTAGCCATGTGAAATATGTCACACAGTTGACCATGGTAATATTGTGATACTGTGGTAGCCATGTGAAATATGTCACACAGTTGACCATGGTAATATTATGATACTGTGGTAGCCATGTGAAATATTTCACACAGTTGACCATGGTAATATATATTGTGATACTGTGGTAGCCATGTGAAATATGTCATACAGTTGACCATGGTAATATTATGATACTGTGGTAGCCATGTGAAATATGTCACACAGTTGACCATGGTAATATTTTGATACTGAGGTAGCCATGTGAAATATGTCACACAGTTGACCATGGTAATATTGTGATACTGTGGTAGCCATGTTAAATATTTCACACAGTTGACCATGGTAATATTATGATACTGTGGTAGCCATGGGAAATATTTCACAAAAAAATGTTGGTAATGTATTGATGTTGTGGTAACAATTCAAAATATTTCACACAATAATCGGGATAAAGTTTTTAATTGTGACCAAAGTAATTCCAATAAAGGAAGTGTGGGAGAGAGTGACTATATAGCTAGTTAATCAAAGTCCCCGTAGAGACTGGGATAAATGTACACGGAAGGTCCGAGCCTTCAGCCTGACAGGTGTTTTGTGTAATCATATGTTGTATATATAAATGCTTAACTTAAGTGCAACTCTGCATTCTTTAGGCTTCTGATAGAAGAAAAAATATAGTATGATACCTGCATGTATGCTGAAGTTAGTTTGTCAAGTTGACAGTGTGTATGGAGAAGCAAGTATTTGGTTGTGTGGTAGCTGTCTAGTTATCTCCCTTAACATTTCCCTAGGAAAGTGAATACCTGATAAACCATTTGTGATGCGAAATTGGTATTTGATACCAGATTTCAAAACTTGTTTGAAAGGATGTTATTATTATATGTTGTTGTGTTACATTATCAGATTATTTATTACGAGATAAGAGAGAGATCACATTATATTTCTTGTCAGTAGTTCCAGATAACAGGTGTAATCTGGAAACCAGTCCCGAGCTCGCACATTCATTACATATATATATATAACTTTTATCTTCAATAATAAGGAATGATAATGTGAGAAAATATTCTGAGGGTTTTGCATCTTCGCTCATTAGCTGAGTAGACACATATGTGTATACAGCCTCCAGAAAAAGAATGTAAATCTAATTCTTTAAAATATCAGAACATGATGAAAATCATAAATAATGTTATTTGGGATTATACCCAGCATGATGTAGGTTAAACATTGTTTGTACTTGTTGTTATTCCTGCCAATCAGTTCATACACAGTAAGTCTTACTTAGTAAGAGATAAACAAGTACTGTAACGTGTGGGCGGTCACCCATCCAAATACTGGCCACGCTCAACATTGCTGGACTAGTGAGCGGGTCCCCCGGTTATACCACATCACTGTGAAGTCTAGCTTGCCAGTAAGGCAGTATTTTCCCCTCAAATTCCTTAGCTGTTATACTACATTCATCAGTACGTTAAAATCTCTGGTTTCTCAATACTTGGTACTTCATTATCATTTATTGCTGTATAAGATCATGTAGCAGGCTGTGAAGGGAAGTAACAACCAAATTTAACCACACTGTTCTAACCTCTGTGAAGAGTTTTAAAAGTGATAAGGCCATTTTTAAAATATTTTTTTATCATCAACAAACTGTACTGAAGAGTCGCAGGTGTTTACTTTTCGTCATTTAACAATTCAAAATTTATATGACTTTTATAGGAAATAATGAAAATTGCAAATGAGTTCTATACTTTCTACCTTTAAATAGCATTGAATATGAAACATTATTGTAAGTGTTGGTATGGTCGGTTACTAAGCCAGTATTGCTTGTTTCAGAAAAGTTATGACGGTGTAGTTACGTACCTTGTACTGACCAGGAGGCTGCGTTTATATTATAACTTGTTGAATGTTATTGCTTGTACTGCAACTTACTCTTTAAAACGTTCAATGATCATTGGAAATGTATCTTTTTTATTCCAAAAAAAGGACAGAATTTTACATACCAATCCAGCCATCAAATTAAAATCTGAATATTTTTATACCATGTTTAAGTTTGCCACTGTTGTGTAGAAGAGATGGCTCTGTCTTTACATTCCTTGGGACAAATGTTTTCTGATGTTTCCAGGGTACAGATGTTTTCTGACTCTTATTTGTGGAACAATAAAGGTTTATAATCCGGGATACATTAAATTGAAAAAAAAAAATACGACTTTTACTCGAATCAAAAGAGAAAAAATACATGTTTATTGAAAACAAAATGTAAGTACATTCCAAAAGAAAAGACATGTAAAATATATTGAGAATTTGAGCAAATAACTTTATTTAAACTGACAAAGCTATGAATTAGTGCAAATATACCGTAGATTTACAATTCCTTTTTAAAAATTATTCATATTGAAAAAAAAGTTTTAGTATAAATCATTTAAAAACATTCCTTTGGTGCCATATTATATGTTTTTAATATGAAAGCCCTAGTAATATATTCCGAATTTTTGGGTGGGTGTAGGCCACTTGACTGGTATTCCAATACATTTTTAGCACATTTTTTTTTATTTCTCTCTCTTGAGAAAATATCTCATTGTTCTAATGAATCTCCAGTGAACTGTGAGCAAACATACATTGTACGAATAAAACGGTTACCTTTATAAACTGTTTCTGGTTTGGTTTATTAGTCTGCCACAGCTTATATTTTAAACTAAGAAAATTGTTGGCATATAGGTAGCAGAGTTGGACGAGAGTAGATCGAGGCACTGACCAAGCAGCTTAGTTGGTTTGGCCATCTTCTAGGTTTTGGAGTTCCGATTCCACTCCTTTTTACATACACAGGGCGAGAAAGGTCCTCTTATACTCGGCTTTTACGTGTTTCAAGTTTTATTACACCCCATAGTTAACATAGGGGTTCTGTGTACCAATTATAACAAGGCAAAGTATTGCAAGGCAATCCATAGTCCCCCACCGGTAATGCTTTCTATATTTAACAAACAGTACACTTATGTCAGGATGCACAGTATCCCGATACATAATACAACATTATAGACATCTTTGTAATGGAAAAATTGCTTTGTTGTCCACAGAAGAAATTTGCAACATGGTTTTATAAATTATCAAACGCGCATATATTCTGAGAGCTAAGTTTGGGAAATGAAAAGAAAAAGCAGGCTAACGGAAACTGTTTCAAATCAATGATATTTTCACGAAATCTGGTGACAGTCATACATCACAGTGACCTACCGGTAATTCTTGCACTCCGCCATCCCAAGATGTTCTTGTACACCAAATCTGGTTACTCCAGCTGAAATAGTATATAAGATATGCCCCAGACAAACATTTTCAAAAGTGAAGGACAAAGGTCAAGTCATAGGTCACAGTGACCTAATTCTTGCACTCTGCCATCTCAAAATGTCCTTGTACACCAAATCTGGTTACTCCAGGTGAAATAGGTCAGAAGATATGCCATGAAAAAACTTTTTCAAAGTTGAAGGTAAAAGGTCAAAGCATAGGTCACTATGACCTAATTCTTTCACTCTGCACTCTCCCATCCTAAGATGTCCTTGCACACCAAATCTAGTTACTCTAGGTGAAGTAGTATAGAAGATATGTTCAGGACAAACTTCTCGGACAGAAAGACGGATGGAGGGACAAAGTGCAAACCTATAGTTCCCCCCCCCCCCCCCCCCCCCCC